TTTTGGATAGAACGACCTCCTCCATGCCCTGACTTTCGATATATACGAGCAATTATCGGGTTCGTTTGTGGGCTTTTATCCACACTGTGGGAGAGATTATATTGCATTATCTGTCAATGACGAGTATAGTATCAGATAACTGTGAGTACAACTTTATTTGGACCTCTAAATGCTAATAAAAAATTTATTGGACAATAAATGATTGCAGTAACATATTATCTTCCTTAAATAGATGTCAAAATGGAACCTAATACAAGAAGCTCACACCTAAATCACTAACAAATTCCTTATTCCTTAAATAGATGTCAAAATGGAACCTAATACAAGAAGCTCACACCTAAATCACTAACAAATTCCTTAGAATAGGTAGCATAATGCAAACATAACCTAATACAAGAAGCTCACACCTAAATCACTAACAAATTCCTTAGAATAGGTAGCATAATGCAAACATGTTTTGTACATATTTATAGGCTCCAATGGATCCTAGACTGGTTTCCTTAATCTCAGCCAGGTTTTGTACAACGTTTATAGGCTGCAATGAAGCATGATAGCTTCATCATTACATGAAAATTGTATTTGTCCCATGAGTAGGTGAATATTCGGTCTGACTTCAACAAATATTATTCGATAACTCGATGTAACCTAAAAATGTTTGAACCTTCAATTCAAACTAATAATCTCCGATATCTTACAAGTTTCTGAAGATACGATTGGTAAATAAAAATAAAGAGTATGCAAGTAAATTTTAATGTGTGGTAATAAAAAACCACATTGATCGCAGTTACTTCATTTCATGTTCATAATGAAATGGACTGATATAATTCCCATAAAAGATGTTTAAGTGTGAAAATATGTAGAATTTCATTTTGCATACATTTTTATTCCTAACATCCACTACGATCAATTAAATAAGATGAAACTTGTCTAATGAGAAACAATGCAAAGTATCTTACTTGATTAGCCAACATAAATCTTCCTCGTTATCCAAACATCCAAATTCAGAAGCCCAGACATGCCCTGAATATGAAAATCGTGTGAATGTGTTAAAATACCTATAAGTGATAAAGATACCTCCATAAAAAAACCGAAGGAAGAAAAAACAAACCTATTGTGAATTTGTGGAAACGCAACATATCCATAACACCAGCATGAGCAAGTGCACATCCAAATGATCAGGTCTCTGCCACCACAAATTTAAACCATTCAACAATAAACTTAATAGAATATATAAATGTTAAGAATTATAAATTTACCTGATTTTATGCAAGCTGCAACTGAAATCCCACCATTACTTCCACCTTCTATACACAGTCTCTCAGGTGACGATGGTTCTGCACGACGTTTCGTCGAATAGCTGCCGAGCAGAGTTGAGGGAGCTGGTCGAGGCATAAGCATGGAGCATGGAGGAGGCGACGTGGGGGTCGGAGTGGAGGTCGTGCTTGATGGAGAGGGAGTGGAGGGGAGGGGAGGGGAGGGGACGTGATAGGAAGTGGGAATTCGTCCTTTGGACAGGCGGCATTAAGATCGCGGAAATCGATGCATATCCGAACTTTACCATTCTTCTTGGGAACTGGAACAATGTTGGCTATCCAATCTGGGTGTTGTTCTTCCCTCACAAAACCTGAGTCTATAAGTTTTTTAACTTCTGACTCGATTGATTCCATGATCTCTGGACGAAACCTACGTTGTTGTTGTTTAACGGGTTTTGCGTCCGGATCAATGTTGAGACGGTGCACGGCAACCTTCGGATCAAGGCCAGGGAAAGGGATTTTGGGGTAGTATTTTTTGGGTTTTAAATTGGGAAGAAGGGTAATTTAGGAATGGATTTTTTGGGCAGTGAGTCTCTACACTGTTTGGGGGTTGGTTACACTTATGTTTCAAAATAAGGTCTTGAAGGGTTACGGTTTTTGGGCTGGGGAGGAGGATGCATTGCCTAACTTTTTTTAGTTTATCCAAGCAATTTTCCCTATATTATATAATGATCAATATAATACATTCAAATAGTACAATGTATTATATCATATTATAATACATTATAATTTAATTCACAGTAACATAATATATTATATTATAATAAATAAAATATATTATATAATAATATATCGCATTATAATATGGGAAAAATGCTTCTAGCCCCCAAAAGCTAAGGAAACATGCTTCCCACCCCTAAGACTTTGTCAACGGGTGTTTTACCCCTAAAAATAAAGATTCTGTTCTCTGAGCCCCCAAAACACAAAACCCAAGACATTAAAACATGTGAAGATAGGGAAAAATGTTTCCAGCCCCCAAAAGCCAAGTGAACGTGTTTCCCACCCCCAAGACTTGGTCAATGGGTGTTTTACCCCTAAAAATAAAGATTTTGTTCTCTGAGCCCCCAAAACACAAAACCCAAGACATTAAAACATGTGAAGACCATAATACCCTTCTCTCTCTCTTTCTTTTTTTATTAAAATATGATGGGGATTATTTTATTATTTTTGTTTTCTCTCTCTCTTTATCATGATGTACCAAGAGGATAGTTGAAATGATTGATGAGGATTATTTTATTATTTTCGTTTTTTATTATTTTGGTTGTTTGTATTGGGAGGTTGTTAAAGTTACGGGTTAATTGTTAAGGTTACGAGTTAATTGTTAATGTTACGGGTCAATTGTTAAGGTTATGAATCCTCTCTCTCTCTCTCTCTCTCTCTCTCTCTCTCTCTCTCTCTCTCTCTCTCTCTCTCTCTCTCTCTCTCTCTCTCTCTCTCTCTCTCTCTCTCTCTCTCTCTCTCTCTCTCTCTCTCTCTCTCTCTCTCTCTCTCTCTCTCTCTCTCTCTCTCTCTCTCTCTCTCTCTCTCTCTCTCTCTCTCTCTATTATGATGTTTCTTTGATGATATTGAAATGATTAAAGATGATTATTATTTTATTATTTTTATTTTTAATTCTTTTTGTATTTTTAGAATATTCGTTGTTAAGGATAATGGTTGGTTGGTTGGTTGTAAATGTTATGCATTGATTGTTAAGGTTACGGGTTTGTTGTTAAGGTTAAGGGTTTGTTGTTAAGGTTATGGGTTTGTTGTGTAGGTTACAGATTTGTTGTTAAGGTTACGGGTTTAATTGTTAAGGTTATGGGTTTAATTGTTAAGGTTACGGGTTTAATTGTTAAGGTTACGTATTTAATTGTTAAGATTACGGGTTTAATTGTTACGGTTACGGTTTATTAATTGTTAAGGTTACGGTTTAATTGTTAAAGTTGCGGGTTTAATTGTTAAGGTTACGAGTTTAATTATTAAGGTTACGATTTTAATTGTTAAGGTTACGGGTTTAATTATTACGGTTACAGTTTTAATTGTTAAGGTTACATGTTTAATTGTTAATGTTACGGTTTAATTGTTAAGGTTACAGTTTTAATTGTTAAGGTTACCGGTTTAATTATTAATGTTACGGTTTAATTATTAAGGTTATGGGTTTAATTGTTAAGGTTACGAGAGAGAGAGAGAGAAGGGATCCATAACCTTAACAATTGACCCGTAACCTTAACAATTAAACTCGTAGCCTTAACAATTAAACCCGTAACCTTAATAATTAAACCCGTAACCTTAACAATTAAACCGTAACATTAACAATTAATAAACCGTAACCGTAATAATTAAACCCGTAACCTTAACAATTAAATACGTAACCTTAACAATTAAACCAGTAACCTTAACAATTAAACTCGTAACCTTAACAATAAATCCGTAACCTACACAACAAATCCATAACCTTAACAATAAACCCTTAACCTTAACAACCAACCCGTAACCTTAACAATCAATGCATAACCTTTACAACCAACCATTATCCTTAACAACGAATATTCTAAAAATACAAAAAAAATAAAAAAAAAATAATAAAATAATAATCCTCTTTAATCATTTCAATATCATCAAAGAAACATCATGATAGAAAGAGAGAAAGAGTGAGAGAGAGAGAGAGAGGAGAGAGAGAGAGGATTCATAACCTTAACAATTGACCCGTAACATTAACAATTAATTCGTAACCTTAATAATTAACCCGTAACTTTAACAATCTCCCAATACAAACAACTAAAATAATAAAAAACAAAAATAATAAAATAATCATTATCAATCATTTTAACTATCATCTTAGTACATCATGATAAAGAGAGAGAGAAAACAAAAATAATAAAATAATCCTCATCATATTTTAATAAAAAAAGAAAGAGAGAGAGATGATTCATAACCTTAACAATTGATCCGTAACATTAATAATTAATTCGTAACCTTAACAATTAACACGTAACTTTAACAATCTCCCAATACAAACAACCAAAATAATAAAAAATAAAAATAATAAAATAATCCCCGTAACTTTAACAATCTCCCAATACAAACAACCAAAATAATAAAAAATAAAAATAATAAAATAATCCTCATCAATCATTTCAACTCCAAAATAATAAAAAATAAAAATAATAAAATAATCCTCATCAATCATTTCAACTATCATCTCAGTACATTATGATAAAGAAAGAGAGAAAACAAAATAATAAAATAATCCTCATCATATTTTAATAAAGAGAGAGAGAGAGAATGTTATTATGGTCTTCACATGTTTTAATGTATTGGGTTTTGTATTTTGGGGGTTCAGAGAACAGAATCTTTATTTTTGGGGTAAAACATCCGTTGTCAAAGTCTTGAGGGTGGGAAGCACGTTTCCTTAGCTTTTGGGGGCTGGAAGCATTTTTCCCTTATAATAAATATAATCTTTCCCATTATTATATATTGTATTATTTAATATATCATACTATAGTGATAAGCTCAGTAGAATATAATATAATATCCCTTATGGGCCCCCCTATTGAGATGAGGATCATTTTGCTGGTGTTGAGGGACCGATTCGAAAAGACGCTTTTTGGAGTCTGAGGTACAACTTTACGGATTTGACGAATGGGATGGAATTATAGAAAATGAGAGGCAACAATATGCAAAAATGTCATTGTGACCGTGATTATTATTTAAAGTGGGGGCAGGCGAGAGAGAGAGAGAGAGAGAGAGAGAGATCGAATTGGGGTTGTTAGGGTTTGCTAGGGTTATTGGAGGATGTCGACGGCGGCGACGTATGAATTGCCTGAATCTACGGCGAAGAAGGCAAAGTTGACGACGATGACGGTGACGCCACAGGAGGAGGGACCTGTCTACGGCGTTGATGATGATGAGGACGAGATCTACAACGATGGTCTCCATATGATGACCGACGAAGAGATGAAACGCTACGGCGAAGCTGTCATGCGCAGCGATGTAAACCCCCCTTTAGCCCTAACCCTAAAAATCCGTATTCTAATTAAAATTTCCGATTAATTTATTATTCTTCTTCTTCCTCATTAAATATTCTTCTTCTATAGGGATTTGAGGTTCCTGAGTTCCCTAATGTTATTGCTCTCGGTCTCATCATACCCATTATGAATAATATCTCCGGGAAGTTCAGGGGGAAAATTCTTAATTATGCCCGCTTTGCCATCGATCGCCAAAACGAAGAGAGAGTGAAAGAGGTGATGCTTCTTTTTACTCCCCCAATACGAATCTACGACGGATCTTTAAAATATATAATTGTTAAAACTTTTTATTATTGTTACAGGGTGCCAGGGAGCTCCATCTCGATATCACGAGAATCGTCAACTGTAATGCGGAGGTCTCTTGCCCTGTCAACTATTACATCACTTTCGAGGCCAAAGATCTCGACACGAAGGAGCTTGATCAATATGAAGCCATGGTGGTCACCAGAGTCCGTCATGATGACGACAATGTTCCAATCTTCAGGAAAAAGACCAAACCAACTAATCCACCAGTGCCCACAGAGGTATAATGACAATGTTCCAATCTTCAGGAAAAAGACCAAACCAACTAATCCACCAGTGCCCACAGAGGTATAATTCCTGGTTGAGACATGCCAATTTAATTTGAAGCCCACAGAGGTATAATTCCTGGTTGAGACATGCCAATTTAATTTGAACAGGAGCACACATGCATGGTTTGCTTCTTAGTTTTTGTCCTCTTTTTTTTATGCAAGAAACTAAAGCATGGTTGTCACCAGAAATTTGGCTAGTTTTATTTAGCTTGTTGCGTATGAAGGATCTTACGATGAAAGTTAAATTGCCAATGAGACAGAGGCGGAGCAACTAATAATATGCTTACTTCCCCCTTCTTAACATCTTCAGGGACTGTGTAGGGTGTGTGGACGTGCACACATGTTCATTCTAAAAGCTTGTGCATTTTTTAGATTCACAAATAATAGCCTTAATATGTTGCGAACTGTCCCTATTTGCTTCAATTTCTGATGCGCTTATCATATCAGCTTATATTCTCAACAATTATAATTTCAATGGTTAAATTTTCACCTTCACCTCCTCAGCACGTTCTCCCTTCACATGGTTTGGTGGCATTAAGGGATTGCTCGTATCATTAAGCGTCTTATTGGCATGATTGGAGTCTACTCATTACCAAGATTTAAAAATTTGACCAATACCATTATGCATATACCAAATTGGAGAAGGAGACTTTCAATCCTCTATCACTCTCTACATCTTGTTCAGTATGCAATAGTTTCGATCAAAACATGGCCTGTTTTGGCTTTTTTGGGTATGCAAGGCAGATTGGACATATAGAGCAATTTATTGTGCAAAGTCAAATTGAGTATGTGAATGAATTCCCATTGAGAATTGCATCCAAGGATGGAATCATCCAAGCTAGATTTCCAGTTTAGATAAGCAATATTATATTGTTTTATTGGTTTAAATGAAAATTTTGAGTTTTCATTGTTACTTGAAGAGAACATCTTTGCTAAGTAATTCTTATTCTATATAGTGGTTCACCTTTGACTAGTGACATACAACTATCTGTTTATAAAGGTATGTTAATTCTTATTCTATATAGTGGTTCACCTTTGACTAGTGACATACAACTATCTGTTTATAAAGGTATGTTATTTGGTAGACCATCTTAACCTGGTATGTCCTTGATTATTAAGTAGTCTCCGCTTGTTAAAAATTTGAGTGATTTAGCAAACGAGGTCCTCACATGATTTTGCCAATTATTTTTCCTCTATGGATCCATGTGTAGCTAGTATTCTTTAATTTATTGGGTTTTCTATGTAGAATAATGAGTTGTCCTGGTCTTTTATCTGTCAATTGTTTGTTGAGTGCTTACCACAAGGCCATTAGCAAAATCAGACCAGGTATTTGATGAGATGCATGAGCAGTTCAAACCTGATTGAAAAACATTTAGGGTCTGTTTGGGGAACATGGGTTTTGGGTCCTGGATTTAAATCTAGGGTGGCACAAATGCAAATCTCATGTTTAGGCATTCTTTTCGGCATGCATTTAAAATCAAATTGTTCATGTTGCTAGATTTTGAAGTCCAAAATTGTTAATTGATTACCCTGTCTTTACCAGTGATTTGTGGAATTCCAGTAGTTTTTCATCTTAATGGTCATCTCCGCTTTTATCTCATTAAGGAGCCTTGGCTAGCGATGAGCAAACGGTGGATTGATTTGATTTTGTTCAAATTTTGACAAACCAATACCAAACCGTTAATGATTCAAAACTGAACCAATCCATCCTAAAGCAGTTCGGTCAGCTTAGTTTGGGTTTGTTTGGTATTGGACCAAACTCTGCACAAAATAATGTAACCTGAAGTTTCATGCTCCCCCTTACCTAAAGACCTCAAATACCAATGGAAATAGGAAAGTTCTATTTGTGTTGCTTAATGTCAGGATCCTAGTCCGAAGTGAATACAATGCTTAAAGTGTTTTCCAAGACTCAGACTTTTAACTTTCGCCACTACATTCAATTGCTATTTCATGTAAAGATTTACATTTGGTTCCAAGCCCACCCAATTCTAAAGTGCACAATTTATGAACTGAAGTCGCCAAGCCTAATTCATGTTGAATCATTGATAAAAAGAACGACCTCGATGTATTTATATGAGTTAAACCACCACAATAATAGCTGCATAAGTTTTAGGAATAGACATGGATTTAGTTTGAAGTGTTTTATTTGGTGCAAATGAGTTCGATCAGTTTGGTTTTAAACCGAACCATATTTTTAAAAACTGAATGTCTGAACCGAACCACTAAACTTCGGTCAGTATATTCGGTCTAAGCTGAACTCCTAAATCTCCTAAAACGCTAACAACCTCAAGAGACAACTCCAATGATGGCGAACTTCAAAGACACTGACGACGAACTTCGCGGAGCCCATTTTTTAAAATCCTCCCGCTCGATTTTCTTTCTCTCTAGTTTCTTTTGTAACATGTTAATTCTTTTACCCTTTTATTCTTGTCAACTCAGTTCTATTTATGGGGTTATTGCATTAACTATTGTGATTCTGACTCAGTAATTTTCGCCTTCTTGGATGGGTTCGTTTCTAAAGGATTCGTCCAGCAATTATTTTCTTTTTTTTGACTGATTTATTTGGATAGGTTTGTTATTGAGACGTGGTTATGAAGATTGACTGTGTATTTAATATTTACTGTCATGATTCTAACTGCACAGTTCTGAACAAAATACCATTGTCAAGATTTGTTATGCTAGCCATATTTTTTTTGGTTGGAGAAAAGTCAAAAAGTTTCGTTCAAAATGTCGATTCTTTTTGGGATACATGTTTGAGCAGTAAAAGCTCTTATTGCATGAAAAACACTAGTTCTTGAATATGACAGTGTAAATGTGTAGCTTCTATTTCTGCAATACTGTTGATGCATGTTAAATCATATTTTGCAGCATGGACCAAGCGATGCAAATCGCGCAGTTGGGGACCCAAGCAAAGTTTGTGAGACCTGAAGTTGGGACCAAGGGGCAAGAGAGGGGAAGATTGCGACGGATAAGAAAGGGATTGTTTGTGAGACCTGAAGTTGGGACCAAGGGGCAAGAGAGGGGAAGATTGCGACGGATAAGAAAGGGATTCTGAGATATGGTCTCTTTTAGTCAGTTCATATTGTTATGTTATTTTGGCTCATTGGACAGAGCTTGGTTGTATTGTATCTATGGTATATTATGTTTGCAATGGAGTCTTCTATGGATTGTATGCTAAAACTTTACGAGTCTGTAAGAAAGATCTAGTCTGGTTATGTTAAATGCTAAAGAGTTAGAAACTCGTATTTCTTTCAAGTTGTGGTTTAGTTATTTTATATGCGGGGTTTAATAGCATGACTAAGATGATTGCACGAAATGGTTTGATGATGTCCTTTTGTTTTTTAGTTGTAAGCAATTGGGTTTGGTGTAAAGCTGCATTCAAAAGTTTGACATTTTTTGTTGTCCGATGGGAATTGGACTTGTTAAACTCGTATTCCTGTTTACTTACAGTGGATTCTAGTGGGAGTAGCACATTGTTGATTTTGGAGCAATTGATTCAGAGATCAAATCTTTTATAGCGTAGCGCGCGAACTTATTCCAAGATTTACCACTAATTATTTTTGGGGGAGTTTGGGGCTACTAGTTCACCACTTTTGCTTAGGGGAGGAGACGAACCAAATATTTAACAAACAGCTTGATTTCTAGTTGCTCAAGTATTTGGTCATAATCCATTTGATTGTTCATTTAATAATAAATGAATAATCTTTGTTATTTGGTTCATAAATGAATAGAAATTAACTATAGGTATATTCAATTTGTTTGTTTAATAAACTATTCATTTATACAATTTAGTCATTAAAATTTGATTTCGCTGCTCGTAAATATAAATAAATGAATTTTTATTTGTGAATATTATATATTAATACGTTGCATGAGGGAGGGGGAGGTCTTGGGCCAGATTAGGGTCAGCTTGAGGAGGAAAGGGATTTTGGGGTAGTATTTTTTGGGTTTTAAATTGGAAAAAAGGGTAATTTGGGAATGGATTTCTTGGGCAGTGGGTCTCTACACTGTTTGGGGGTTGGTTACACTTATGTTTCAAAATAAGGTCTTGAAGGGTTATGGTTTTTAGGCTGGGGAGGAGGATGCATTACCTAACTTTTTTTATTTTCTCCAAATAATTTTCCCTATATTATATAATGATCAATATAATACATTCAAATAGTACAATGTATTATATCATATTATAATACATTATAATTTAATTCACAGTAACATATTATATTATATTATAATAAATAAAATATATTATATAATAATATATCGCATTATAATAAATATAATCTGTCCCGTTATTATATATTGTATTATTTAATATATCATACTATAGTGATAAGCTCAGTAGAATATAATATAATATCCCTCATGGGGCCCCCTATTGAGATGAGGATCATTTTGGTGGTGTTAAGGGACCGATTCGCAAAGACGCTTTGGAGTCTGAGGGACAACTTTAAGGATTTGACGAATCTATTCCTTTATACAAAAGGGAAAACCAGAGAGTCACTATTCATGCTACAGTAAATACTACAATAGATTTACTGTAGCGTTATTACTGTAGCAGATGGTAAATAAAAAATGATACTGTAGCAGGGGATAGTGTAGCATTTCAGAAGTGTACTGTAGCAGCGGGATACTGTAGCAAACCCAGAAAATTCAAATCTCTCTTCTGTTTAAAAAGAGGAATTACTGTAGCAAAAAAAACCGTGCTTTGCACGGACAGCAGACTAGTGGGATGGAATTATAGCAAATGAGAGGCACTAATATGCAAAAAAAAGAGTCCTTGTGGCCGTGATTAGTATTTAAAGTTGGGGCAGAGAGAGAGAGAGAGAGAGAGAGAATTGGGGTTGTTAGGGTT